CAAAAACAAATGTCCTGGTGAATTGCACTGTCCAGGATCATCCACGTGACAAAGTATACTTATATGTTCAATCGATTGTATGGTGATGGATAAATTCAGAGTGGAACCATTTACTTACAACGCCTAAGGCGGAAAGGAAGGGTTTAAAGGAGATTTTTAAAGTTTCTTTGTGAACAGGAATTTTGTAATAACAGACCGCAGTTTGGCTAGCACTCTGATATCCAGAACTATCTAATTGCACTATCGTTGTCATACAAAGGAGCAAATCATTTCTTTTAATCAAAGGGCCGCTAAAGCCAGGGTTTAAACCTGCCTTTCAAGTCATCGGCAGTGGAGAAGGACGAGCATCAGACTACTCCAATGTAAGAACTAAATATTAACGATACTGTATGTAAATACTATGGTGAAACATGTTGAATTTTTGCCTTGTAAGACCCTGTAAGCCTTGTTCATAGGACACCTATACTTATACACGTTTACGGCGAAAAACTTCTAAAGGTTATGTTTATGCATCCGTCATCAACAATCTAAAACGCGAAATACAAATGATTTATTTTCTTATATCTTGGGCTAACATAAATAGGAGAAGTTCTGAGACATTTTCATTCTCTGTGTGGGTACCTGAGGAGGTCGATTTCGTCGTGCATCTTCCATCAATGCGTCGGTTTTTCAGGCGACTGAAATCGTCACATATCAAGAATCATTGTTTTACGTGGAAAAAGCGGTAACTTGGTGGTAACGCTACCAGCGAGCTCAGCGCAACTAGAATGACGACGGAAACGAGAAAACAAGCAAAGACAAAAACTCTGAACGAGCAGCACACTTTTTGGCAGGTTTCTTTGCTGTTATTTTCCGACTAACGTTCAGTGTGAAAGTTGATTGAAACGGCAATTCGATCTTAATTCGCTTTAACCTCTAAGATCGTCACGATCGTCGTGACTTCGATTTCGTCGAAAATACCCTTACAGAGGCTCTTATTTGGAAACTGAACTTCCAAAAACACGGCTTCATATCATTTACGGCAAACATGTCCGAGTAAGCCCTCAGCAAGAAGATTATTCAGCGACAGCCAAAAACTTTAAAAATTTAATCTTAAAGGAAGTGAATATTTATTTTACTGCCGTCATTGGAAGTAATGTACAAGAGAGGTGCTAATTTATTGTTGTTAAAATTATTCAAACTTCCGACTACAGCTGCGAATTGAGGCCAAAGTATAACTAAATAAATCGCGTCACAACAACTTACTTTTACATTAGAAGAGCCCCATATACATTAATGTCTTGTGTCCATTATCTCTAGTGATAGTAATGGTGTACGCGGAAACTGTGACGTCAAAAAATGAAAGGCAATCGTTGTTCACGTCACGAATATTTGCGTGTGTACCTATTCAAAAATCTTTAATTCGTTTCAGACTGATTTCTTTTCTTTCATTGAAGTATTTGAAAGCAGTTTAGATCATAAAATATGTCAAATAAATTATGGCTTTGACATATTGAAGAGGCCACGTGCAAGTAGACATTAGACATTGAAACCAAAAACAAAGTGCAATGTAAGCTTGCGTCCATTTTGAAGGATAAATTTTTTGGCAGTTTAGTCAAATTATTCTGGTAAAAAAAATGCTGCTTTCCAAAAAAAGAAAAACCGAAAGCAACCCTTTTTGCAACGTAGCGTGTGACGCCTAATTTTTGCGTTTTTTTTTAAACTGATTTTGCGAATCGCCAGTGCTTTGTCCGAGCTTTGTATTTCGCGAGATATAATTTTGCGATTGCTCTCATTTGTTTTGTGTTTTTGCGATTCTTAGCTTTCTGAAGCCTCTGTAATTGACTGTGTATACTTTTGATTTTAAATAGAAATGATGATTATTACGAGACTCCTCTCTTAGTACGGAGGATTAAAAATTTTAAGAGACATTTTTTTGGCTGAACACTCAGTTTACTATAATCTCTCGATATCTTTGCGCACAGGGATAATGAACAGCTTTTTAAGCAAAGTTACTTTTATGACAAGCAAAAGGGTAATGAAAACACTTAAAGTTATTTTTTAAGCCCTGATTTTTACAACGCAAGGTAGCAGTAGGTCTATGAAACTCACTGAAATCATAGTGGGAGCCAAGCCTTTGAAAGCTTTTATTTTCATTAAACGTCAAATAACGCCCATCATGCAGGAAACAAGTGCTGTATAAAATACGTTCCATTTGGTAACACGTGACCTGACAATACCTCGACATAAAGTGGCTGTAAGTCCGGTGTACCACATACCGATGTGATTTAGTTGATGAATTGATCATTTTAATAATTATCAGTTGTGAAATCACTAACATTTCAATTTATTCATTACAGGGATTAGCCGTCTAAAACAAAGAACTTCACATCGAACAACAGTCTACTTTACAAAGACAACAGTTCACTTTTATGATAGACAAACAGAACACAGTTCACCCTCTTAATCAAACGTCGCCGATTTGCGACTCATGGCATCCTACGAAGTCAAGCAAAATCTTTTTTTAGGAGTGGGTACAATCCTGTATACGCTTGCAACTGCCCTGGTTAACCTGGTCGCAGCTTACTACCTTCTTATTTACAAGAAATCAACATTCTCTCGAAAGCAATACAATAACTTCCTTATGGGTCTGCAGGCGGTCATGGGAATTTTTCTCGCTCTTACCGGCTACACCTGGACAGTGGTTGCCCACTTGGCTGGTGAGTGGCCGGCGGAAAATCTCGGCTGTTCATTGGCCACTTTCTGTTTGCTGTTCTTCGGTACCATGATGGTCATGGTAACACTCGTCATGTCTGCCGAACGATTTATAGCCATGTGCGTGCCGTTTTACTACCAACAACTTATAAACCTTCGAAAAATTAGGATAGCGGTTGGGTATATTTTTGTACATTCTGCAGCACTAGCTATCCTGCCTCTCTTGTTAAAGAGCGTCGAACTGACAAAACATCCCATAGCAGTGTGCTTGTACTCGCTTAACTCCAAGAGCAATGGCGAAGTAATCGTTGTACATGCCTTCATTTGCAACTTCTCGCTGTCCATTCTACTTATGCTTGTAATGAACGTGTCAGTGCTTAAAGCTTTGAAGAGAATGAATTTGTCCGTTGGAACCGGGGTTCTTACACAGAGTGCAGGTGATCGCGAGGCAATAATACTCTCTAACCTAACCGGAATTATGGCTCTATCCTATAGCCTGGCTTGGGTTCCAATTTTGGTAAGGAAAAACACGTTATATGAGTTAATCTTTAAAACGAAGATTGAAAGCAGGCCGGGAAAATCCGGGTGGAGGCTATGATCACACTATGCCAGGAGCGAGGACTGGGATTTAGGTCACCAGGCCCTCTCGGCCAACCGCTCCGGCACAAAGTTCGATGTGTTTGAACGACTTGTTCCAGTTCTGTTTATACTATACCGGATAGATTGGCGTGTCGGCATGAAAAGCTATCCGACATAGCCTGACACTAACATAGCCTCAGTCAAGCCGGATTGGGTGTATATCGATCTACTGAATATTAAATTAAAACTATTGTTTGGATCCAGAGTTATTTAATGCACAGGCAAACAAGGAAAGGAACTCCCAAAAATGACCGGCATTTCCTTAAAGACCTTCTCAAACCAAGTTCAAACTTAGACTTGCCGCAACAAAAAGTCATATCATTTTTATCTTTGTATCATAACAATTAGAATGATATTAAAATTTCATTGATTTTGTGTTAAAAGAGGGCCACAAGTTTATAAGTTCAAATTATAACTGTCAAATGTTACCCTCTCAAAATTAAGTCTCCACTCCTAACTCGTGTGGTCCAGGAGAACGACTGCAAAGTGGGGCCTTTTAAAAGCAACAACCATGTGCCTCTGTCCCTGACATGTCATCGCTCTTGTCGCGAAAAGCCAGCGTGGCGCGCACTGAAGTCTGGGTAAATGTGGGTAGGCCCTAGAGAGATGTGGTACACTTTCCCTTGTCTTTTACAAGGGAGCTAAGCAACGACGACAATAGTGAAAACGACACTTAGAAAATGAATTCACACTGTTTCTAAACTAACTGCTCTTATTCCACGTCAGTCAAATGTTGGTGAATTTTTCTGGAGTTGAATTCTAACGGACTGTATCCAAGATTTAAAAAAAAAAAAAAAGAATTAGAAAAACATACAGAGTTATTTTTTGCTTATCTAAACCTATTGTTTTTTTGCCGTTGTCGATGCCGTCGTCGTTGAGTTGATTAAGCTCACTAACATCACTAGTCTCCCTCGCAGCCGTTTTTGGATGTCACGGAGCGTTGCGTGACATCTACAAAACGGCTAAGAGGGAGACTAAAACATCACATGATTGACAACATCTCTCTTCTTTCGCCAGGCTCGAGTGATGCTCATTTATCACGCAAATTGGCGCAGTATATACTTCGACTTGTTCGCGTTTGGTTTGTCAACCGTTGATCCATTTGTGCATCCAGTCACCTGTATATTAGTAAGCCGGCGATACAGAGCAGGATATGCGGCCGCCTTTAAAGATATCGTGTCGAGAATTCGTGGATGGATTTGCAGCTTCAAACCTCGAACGAGAGTGGATCCGCTTGACTATACACCCAGTGTTTCAAACACCTATAACAGTGGTCTGATTCACGTTACCTGGCAACATGAGTCACGTGTGAATTTAAGAAACAACTGTGATAATTCTGCGCAGTGTGCAACACCCAAGGCGCATGCGAGTGTTTTAAGACTTGATGTAATTCAAGAAACTTAGATAAAAGGATGGCCTTTCGTGTGGACAAGAAAAGCTGTTCGGTATAGTATGAACATCTGTTCGATAAGTGACGCTCAACTTTAGAGACCGGCGCGGTGCAGCTCCGCTCTGTTACAAACATCGCGCCAAAATGACCCTTCTCATGTGTGAACAGAAGTCCTATCCTGTATGGTTTTCGTGCAGGCGGAAAAGCTCTCTGTTTAAACTCGAAATTGCGAGAAGCGCAGGGTCTCATTCGAGAGTGCGAGCAATTTCAGTCTCGCGGCTCAACTTAATGCTTGCGGAGGAATCTTTTACACTTGGTACTAGTTCACAGGTAGCAGTATATTCCTTATAACGTGATAGGGATTACAAAAAAATTGCCAAAGCAACGCAAACGCTTTCAAAGACTTGAATGGGAATACTTGCAGACACCAATGATAAGCTATGAACAAAAACATGTTACGATGTCACGTCATCTAAACTGTGATCAGTTCGCAGTAATCGAAACTACCCCTAGAGGAAGGTTAGCTCTTTGGATCAATTTTGGTAATTTCAGGTTGCTAATAACATACTACTGAAACAAGCCTCTCTGTTTTGACAAACACATGTTAATCTCGACGCAAAGTTATAGGAACGTTACTACATTATAGCAAAACACTGTTCGTTTTGCTTTGACTGATGCAGAAGGCTTTACAAGTAACTGTTTGTGGTGTTTGTTTAGAAAAATGCCGGTAAAAAAGTCAAACCTCTGTGTTCATTAGTCTAATTTTCCTGTCAAAAAGTTCCTGACAAGTGAGTTGAATTCATCAGCATAGCGAAGGTGGATATTGTGCCTTCCTTCTGGCATTAGATGAAGCTTGGATCCTCTGATATTAGCATGTAAAAACTCAGGATGAAAATCTGGAACCAAGGGATCTTTCTGGCCGTGCACCACTAGGGTGGGGCAAGTAATACTCTTAGCCTCGCTTACACAAATGTCCCCTCCCCTGTTAGTATAGTATTGGCTTATACCATCAATCCATGCACTGTGCATCTCTTGAAGACCTTCTTTGCCATATAATGCTAAAATAAACATGCAAGTAAATAGGTTACAGGCCAGTTAGAGCGGCTGAAGGACATGGAGGGGAATCTACTTACAACTGACTCTGGAATCAGAGCAATCAAGAACATTGCTTTAGTACTCCTGCAAGATGGAATCTATTACAGGAGGAAAGGGAAGAACAGCTCTTCTCAATTAACGGTTGAGAGGACCAAAAACATTTACAAAGAATTACTTTATTATGTTGTCAAGGAAAGTGTCAGCAAATAAGTTATTTTGATACTTGGTTTACCTGGGTGGGGCAGGTGAGGGCGCAAGAGAAGGAAGTAATTTTAAGGCTGGGGTTTAAGTCACATGACCTTTAGTCGCACCCACGACCAACATCAATTTTCTCCTACCAAAATTAATGCAAAACCAGAAGGAAAGGTTATGAGAATTAATAACATGACCAATTGATCATTAAACAAATTTTCTCAATTAATTCTTTAAGGAAATGAACGGGATCAGTCTGGAGAGTTTGTCTGTGGTTATTGCCGTTTAAAGGGTCAACTACACACATGTAAATTTAACCCTCTGGGCCTGGTTCCTGAAAGGTCGATTAGCGCTAATCCAGGATTAAAATTTTGTTCCAGTTTTGTAATTTACCTTCCTACATATCTCGGGGTAAAGGCTCAACAGTATTTTTTTAGCTCGAGTTGCATGTCCTTAGACAAGAAAACCTTGCTTAAAACTTGGCTTAATCCTGGGTTAAACTTAACCATCTTTTGAGGAACCGGGCCCTGGTCATCTTGACAATATTATCATCATGACAGAATATTTGACTATCATTGACTCTCTCCATGATGGACACAAATAAGTGCAGTGTTCTCACCAGGCCGCGGCCTTGCGGGATTCCCGCAAGAAAAAACTGAAATGGCGCATTAAAACCAAGAAGACGCGCCCGTTAGGGCGCAAGGGCAAGCTACGAGTCAAACGGACTTAAGTAGTTTTAATGGTCACCCTAACACTAAAGCATTCTGTTTGTTTGAATAAATAAAAAAACATGATATCAAATGAGTCAAAGTCTTTAATTTTGTTGCCTTTACTTTCATTGGTCCCACGCACGTCCCACTACATCGTAAACTCCTCCTCCGAATCGTAAACACCTCTTCCGCCATATTGGATCAGGTAGGTACTTCATGTAACAGACAATTTGGAGTGCGGGCTCAGGTTCTTCGTACCGCGTGTTTTTTGTAACTTTGTCCCCCTAATGTTCTTCCAGGGCCCCTATTTCACAGAAGAGGGGGCCCTGGGACTCCCCAAGGCAAAATCCTGGTGAGAACACTGTAAGTGAGCTTGTGGTATCAGTTACAGTTGGTGTTTGTGTACTCCAAAAAAATAACATCACTTATAAAATATATTACCTTCTAAAGGTTCTCTCATTTTTTGGCTCCATTTTGATGTGTCTCTGATTTTCTCATACAGCTCAATGTCTTGTGCTGTGACAGTAGCATTGGCTCCCCATACCACCAGACGATCAATACAATCAGAATATTTAGCAGCAAGTACCATAGCTGTTATTCCGCCATCACTCCAGCCCAAAAGAGAGTATTTAGTATGACCTGTCAGAAACCAAAAATTCAAAAACTAACAGTGAAGAACTGATGATTTTGCATTGAAATATGCATTTCTTCATTTAGCAGGATTATTATTTCAAAGGTTGTCTGCAAAAAAGCCCAAAGTGATTTTTAAAAAGCACCATAGGTTAAATGGGCAGTGTCACAGGTGTCTAGTTCATTATTTATTACGCCAATTATGTGTCCTTATTTGCTATGGAACTCAAGAAATTACTTGTGAATGACAACATCAGAGCTTCATATGAAGCAAATAAATTATGTTTCCCAAGCATTATATGAAACGTTACAAACAACACAAAACTACAAAAATGACAATTCCTCCGAAATGTCCTGGCTGCTCTCACCCCCTAGGATCACAGACTTACAGTTGAAGGTCCACCAACAGAAACCTCCCATGGACACCTCCCATGAGACTTCTCTCTCCCATAACATCTTCCAATGATCGATTTTGACTCCGAGTTAAAAAGATAAGCATAATCAGCGGCAGATCCAGACCTTCAGATAAGGGGTGGGTCCCCAGGGAGGTACTCGGGATTTCAAGTGACGGGGATGATCGAATGGAGCCAAAAGTCAAGACCCAAAAAAATCCCTAGGGCTGCCAGCAAAACCCAAAAAAATCCCTGGACCAAAAATTAACCCCCAAAAAATCCCGTGCCGATTTTGTGGCCCTTAAAAGTTCCAGATGTAAAGCGACACCATAGTTAACTATTAAACAACAGCAAAACACGTTTGTTTGTACTTTATTTGCAGAACTACGCTGCCAGGGCACTACCGATTCTTTTTAATATCCCCAAAAAATCCCTACTCAAATCAAGCTACGCAAAAAAATACTTGCCAAATCTTCGTACCCAAAAAAATCCCAGAATCGAAAATTTCAAACCCAAAAAAATCCTTCGATCATCCCCGTCACTTGAAATACCGAGTACCCCCCTGGAGGTGGGTCATCCAGACCCTGAGATAGGGGTGAGGGGGGAGGGGGGCAGTGTTTAAAAAAATTTTTCGGTCCTTCGGGCCTCAGTTTGGTCCAAAAATAAGGGGGGCCTATGGGGCCCCTGGATCTGTCACTGATAATTAGTAAAGGGCTCTGCAGCAATCATTCCTCATATTTGTGTATATCCCTGGGGACATTCCATTTTCATTCCGGTCCCTTCCCCTCCCTCCATATGGGGGGTCCGGAATAAAAGTGGGACTTCCCCATTTGGGTGGTCCACGTCTTACCAAGAGTTTCCATAAGCCCTGCTGCATCGTCTGCATCCCTTGCAAAAAAATCAGCAGGAAAGTCACGTTTTGGCGGTATTGATTTACCGTATCCTCGAGGATCAAAAGCTACAACTGTAAAATCATCGCTGAGCCCCTTCAACTGAGGGCCGAAGTCACTTTGTGTGGAACCGAGTGCTCCAGGCATGCACAAAACAACATGATCACCTCGGCCGGCAACATCGTGGTAAATTTCCACTCCGTTCACTTCTTTCTTAGAAGATACTACGCACATATGGCGTTTTGTAATTTGAAAAGTATTTGTGTTTGATTTTGGCCGTATTTTGAGAGCTTTACGACAGAAAGCACGCGATGCTGGCAGCAGCCCAGGCAGGGAGCGAACCAAAACAGCCGCCATTTTGAAAGTAGGACCCAAGCTCTCTCAGCCCTGTCTAGTCGTACAAATGAAAGCCTGTGTACACTGTACAGACATCCCCCTCCCTCAGGAAAAATCGCACAGGCTAATAATTAGCTCGAATTACTCTGATTTCCTACCGACGAGCATTGAGGTCAAAAACACTCCTAGGGTAGAGAAAGTTTCAAATTTTCGGATCGGAACTTCACCGTGTTCAAATATGTACTGTGTTTTGTGATACAAATACAGAGGCTGGGTAATCTGTGGTTCTATCAGCTTTGACACAATTGACGCATGAAAGGTACAACTTCTAAATGCTTTTCTTATTTCACAAAATATCTAAAACGTAGGAAACCCTTATAAATAACTAAAACAACGAAAAGAAGTAAACTGAAGCTCCCGAAAACATTTTGGTCCCAAAATTGAAAACCGCTTGGACCCGGACCGAAATATGGGAAGGATCCAACTTGAAAGAGCCCCATCATATTATGGGCTAGGAGGGCGTGGAAAGGCGCCTTTCAGTGCCTTTGCTATTTGAAGCTGGAAGCGCCACCGAGCAACAAGGAAGAGGTCATTCCTTCAGTCACTAGTGTTAGCATTTAGGTGAACAAAGGGCGTTTGACTCGCTTGGATAAAACTTTCGTTGGCTTTTTCAACGGCGAAGACGGTTTACCCAGTTTTGTACACGTCTGGGTGCGCTTATTCGCTGACAAACCCGCTTCCCTTTCCGGTCGGAGGAAGGTAAGCCTTAGCGTTTGTAAAATCCTAGCTGGTGATTTACAAGAAGAACTACTCATCTTCCCGTCAAGCTGCTTCCAACGATAGCCATTGTTTAGTTGCTTAACTTTGATTTTGCGATACATCGAGCCCATTTAACGTCTCAAACGCCTTGCTTCGATGTCCTCGCGTGGTTTATTGTGTGAAAGTGGAACGAGTAGTAGAGCTTGGCGAGCTGAGCTATTCGATTTCATGTCTGTTTCACTAAATCGAACGTGTTGTTTATACGTTCTTTCCTGTTCAATAATTCCATATAATTGAATTACTTTAGTGATTTTAACACTAAGGTAAGAAGGACGAGCTGAAACCACTTATTCTTATAACCACTCATAAGAATTTGTAACGTCGAAACAGTCGAACACAGCTGCACAGCTTATTTATGTTTCGAAACACTCGTGTTCAAGCGTGTCATTTGTCTCTGGCATCTACAATTGGTTTATACTCTACTATTACTTCCTTGTGAAATGCAAATGCCCCCACACAATGCCCCCAAATGTTATCTTCATTTCTCTTTCCATTAACCTTTCTATGGCTCGTTACCAAATTAGGATTGATTTATAGCAAACCGATCGCTCACAAAGTGAGAGGAGACTTAGTAATTTCCAAGCTGCTCAAAACTTTCATTTACATTTTGTTCCCTGGACAAAAAGCATTTATTAAAAAAAGCTTGAATTTTAAATTGACACGAGACAGTTCTAGTTTCAGTTACTAGGTATATGCTTGTACAAGTAAATCTTTTAATTTATGAAGTTCGTTCATTGTTAATTCCAGTACATCAATTTTAATGGTTTTTTCCCACCTCTTACATCTGATAAGTGTCATTAATTTCTCACCTGATCTTACTGTACTGTTATAGGACACACGAAAGTGCTCTAACCAGCCTCACATGATTTGTTTTACTATTTTATTATTTTTATTTATTTATTTGAGAAAACACAGACATGGCACTAAGTCTTTTTTGGAGGGGATCCATCAAATAGATCTAGCCAAAAAATAAATTACCAGAAAAAAATCTGCTTTGTAAAAATTTACTTCATGATGTAGTAGTTATTGCTAGAACAAAACTAAAGATGAAATGAAATGTCATTACAAGTCACCACATTAGATAACTTAGAAGGATGTTACAGAAAAAGTAATTTTTGTTTGTAGCATGTGCTTTGTACCATTACATGTGCTTAGATTATCTTGTTTATTAAAAATCATTCACACAAATATAGACTGTGAGTAGTCTCTCTTTTTCTTCAGATTTAGTGAGAGGAATGTGCACGAGCATTGAGCTCAGCGAAGCCGCGAGATGTGAGAAACGAGGGCAGCAGCCCAAGAAGAAAAACAAGAGACTGCTCATAGCTATTGCAAATGAGTAATAATAAACATTGGCCTCACAACACAAAATATGATTAGCTGATACTAGAAGTGTTGACAACAAAATTAATTGTCAGTAATCAAAACTGTTGACAAGATGATGATGGCTGAAGCACTGCACTAACGTTTGTTATGTTTCCCGAAAATACGAATGTTAGATACAGAGCTAGAGTAAAGAAAAGCGTTAGAAGGTCTCATGTTGGGACTAGACGTGATCACAAATATAATATTTAAATCTTCACTAAGACTTAATCATAGTAGCAATTGACAAGGAACACTTTAGTTTCAAAACTACTGTCCTGCTTTAGAACTTGTAAAAGAAAGTGGCATGGACTGGAAGAATCTCAGACTGTTTAGCAATTATCAATGGATGAACTCCAGGACATCTCGCTATGGTCCAAATACTCGCGTTATATCTCATGCAAAAAATCGGCACCGAAAGAATGTCAATATTGACTGACTTACAGCACAATTCTCCATAGTTGGCTTGGCTTTGGTTAAGCTACAATTAGGATATGTAGAACACTATTCTGTGAGAATTCAACATCCTGCGAACAACGAAAGAGCTAGGCCTAGGGTGATCCCATTGAAAACATAAACCACAGTAAATGACTTATCAATATGTGAGAAACAGACTAGCTATATGACCTCTAAATGTGAGACTAGCGACCAAAATTAAGGTTTGCTCAGTCAATTCTTTTAGAATTGAATCTTTGCACTGCAGAACTTATATGTTAAAAAGAAAAGAAAGAAAACCCCATAAAAACTTCTGGTGTTCAAGCAAACTCTAAGGTCACATATTGGATACAGTTAATTAGATTTCAGTTTTTACACCTAAAAATCACTAGACCATGAAACACTGGTGGTAGTCTCTCTTTTTTTGTGCCTCTCCAGTCTCATGCCTTCAGTCATGCGGGTGGTCATTTGAGTGTCTCACGTGCTTTTGGCTCGACAGGCTGAGAAATAAGAGAGACTGCTCGTAGTACATCACAATTATTGCTCAGGTAATTCATTTTTGTGTTTATCAAATCACTTAACATGAACAAAAAAGTATCTTTGGGAGCAGTTTCGGCCAAAGGTATGCAGAATTTAGGCAGAGATATAGCTGAGAGACAAACTACCAGTGAATTTAACCAGCTGAAAATGAACTTACCAAATGAGTGCGGTGAATATGTAATGTCGTAGTCCAAAAAAGTAAACCAATCAGATTACTTAGAATGCCAAGATCACTGGTTGTATATACTAAAATAATATAATGAAGCACACGTGATTGTTGTTTGATAAGATCGTTATTATTTATTTATTTATTTATTTATTTACTTTTTTTTTGTTATTATCAGTTCATGTCAAGCATCCTGTTATGGGGAACCTGCTTAGACTGTTAACAAGGGAAGATCAGGATTCAAGTGGAGGCAAAGGAGACATATTCTTAGATTTTGAAAGTAAGTATTTATTGAGCTCAGCACTCTGTGGAAGGGCGTTGTTAGTTATTGGCCATGTAAAGGTTGCACATGAGACTGGATTGGTGTTGCGGGCCTGCAAATTTTTTTTTTCTTTAAACAGGACTCCTGATAAGGAGCGTGGTTGTGGGACAGAGCAATTAAGAAAAACCCGCACAAATCTGGCACAATTAATTCCTACAAATCCACTCAATACTGAGTGACTGACTTTTAGAGTGCGCAGAAAGAATCATTTCACCAAGGTTTTTGGAAACTTTTGGGCACGTTTCATAAGCCATTTCCTTTCTGAAGCTAGTGACTCACAGATCAGAATTTGTCTGTCAACTGATGTGAAGCCCTTGTTCAACAAATGTGGAGTTACAGTGTATCATGTCACTGTATCGTGCCATTGTTCAACAATGCTGAACATTGTGAAGTGAGAGATTAGCAAATAAGAGATGCCAACCTCCGCAGATCTAAAATCTGGAGAGATTTGGATTTATTTTTTGGATTGGACATTATTCCTTTTTTTTGTATTACTATTGAGTATGTGAAGTTAACATTAAGTGCCCGTTGTAGGACGCTGCATGCTCAGGTACCCAACAGTAAACGTTATAATAGTTTTCCAGTCTAAAAACAGAAGGTACTAAAATCTGACTTTCATTACTCCTAAATCTTAAATGACAGCTTATATTTAACCTTAAAATTGGGTCACAAACAGTGTCAATGACGGTACAGATTCAGGTGGCAAACTCTCTGACTGTGGTAGGTGAGTCAAAACCTACTGAGCAGTTTATCTATAAGTTCTACTACCATGATACCTTCTCAAGACACAGCTACCCTTAAATGACTGGAGACCGCCTTCCCCCTCCCCGTAACACAAACATCTTTTAAAATGTTACTTTTTAAACAGATTAACACAAAACCTCCAACTGATTCACAAGTTGGCTCATAGAGCCCTTTGATTTATGTATGTACTGTAACTATATATTTTTTTAACGTAGATGCCTCTCCCACTGAGCCAGAGCGGAGAGTTTATGATGTGGTAAAAAGTGTATTGGATGAAGCACAGCGGATTCTCCAGGAGTTACGAAGTTATCAAGGTGCTAATGAGGAGATAAGACAAGTAAGTAAATTTGCGTATTATGTTTTTATTTGCAGTCATCAGGAATGTCACTAAGATTTCAAGTTGCCAGGTAAAGACAACAATTAGGAGGAAAATAAAACAGCCAGGGATTTCTTTTGGTTCTATTTTTCTTCTATTTTCCTATGAAAGTAACTGTGGGAAATCTCCGGTCCCCGCCTCTTAATGACATCCTTGAGACATTCAAAAAACTTTTCATACTCACTGTGCAAGTCTTCCAAAGGTGGGTGACAAAAAAGATATCAGACCTTAGGACCCTCAAAAACTCCTGCCCCCAAAACAGTCAGACTCCCTTGATGTCTTGAAAATCATAGCCCAAACCAATGTTTTCAAATATTGCAGTGTTAGAATGTATTTTCTTGGAGGAGAGGGGGGAGGGGTTGAGCTTGATACTTTTGTCATGTCACAATCTTGTTATGGCCAAAGGGTGTGACTTGTTTGTTTCAACAGTACATGTACATGTACAGCTGTAGCTATCTCATGACAAAGAAGAATTAGTATCATGCAACACACCTCTCCCTTCCACAATAATAATAGTTCATTATTTTTTTGCGAAAATCTGGTAGTAGTAATTGTCACTAAAACTTCAAAAATTATTGTTAGGTTAAGTTAAAGTTACTCAATGAGACAGCTTCAAAGAAATTAGTTTTTCAGAATACTGATTATTTGAAAACACTGATTTAAGGGTTCACACGCACCTTGAAAATCCCCTGAAGTCCTTGAATTTTAAAGAAAAATTTAAGGCCTTGAAAGTCCTTGAATTTTAATGCTAACTTAATAGTTTACTTAATAGCTTACTTTCCATCTTCCTGCCAAGGAAATTAAGATTTAATTTGAATTGTTGTAAAGTCCATCTCCTTGTATTTTAATAACATGCTTGATGTTTTTTGTCTTTTCTACCTTTCTTTGTTCCAGACTATATTTAGTATTGTTTTTCACAAGATTAACGTAGATGGTAGGTTTGGAGAGATTAACTGGTTCATTCCATTTTTGGCTGCAGGCAATTTCAAATGCGTTTGATGAACAACTTCAAGAATTAGCTTGGAAGGCAGTGGTACCTCTTGTTGGAAAACTGAAAATGTTTTATGAGTATGGTTTAGAAGTTGGTAAGTGACATAACTTGTCACTGTAGCTACACACCTGAGGATAGACTGAGTGTCTAAGGAGACTAGCTCTTTATTAAATATTACGAGAGAGTAACTTGCGTGAGGGTAGTTGTGTGTTTGCACCCAAAATTCTCTCTTCACTATTATTATTTTTATGCTTTTACAACCTTTTTACCGTTGTTGTTGAACCTCCATGTGTGTCTACCCTCCCATAAGCGACCACCTCCCATTAGTGACCACTTCTCCAAAACACCATAAACTTTTCCCAGTTGAAGGCTTACAGTTGTAACCTCTTGTAACTCACCTCCTCCTGTGACTGCAACCACTTTTAGAGGATAACCATTTTTATCGTTTTTAAACTCTTGAAAGGGACTTCTTAATGTATAGTCTGATCGATCTCTATATTTGCTGTATGTACAATGCTGTTCTATATATGGTAACTTAAAAATTGCATGCAAAAAATATACCGTAAAATTCCGAAAATAAGCCCCTCCATGTATAAGCCCCTCCAAATATAAGCCCCCCAAACTCATAACGCAAAAAACCCTCCGTTAAATCGCCCCTCCAAATATAAGCACCGCCGGGGGCTTGTACTTGGAAATTACCCTCAAATACAAAGCAAAACAAAGAAAAAACGGTAAATTTCATTCCAACTATGAGGCTAGCCCAGTCGATTTTGAAACGCAAATTTCCCTCCGTAGATAAGCCCCTCCGAATATAAGCCCCTCCAAAAATAAGCCCCTCAAAAAGGGCCTTTGAAAAATATAAGCCCCGGGGCTTATTTTCGGAATTTTACGGTATTTCATAAAGTAGATGAGTCCCGACTGCTTCTCAGAAGAGAACCCCCGTGATTCAATTCTCGTTAGCATCCACTTCCTGTTATCAACCACAACAGGGTTCGTACAGGTCATGGAAAACCTGGAAAGTCATGAAATTTGAGAATCTCATTTTCCAGGCCTGGAAAGTCATGGAAAATTAAAGCTATGTCTGTTAGATTAGTCGGTGCAATGGTCTTTTTTCATTTAATACTTCACCCTGCAGCTCCTAAATATGCTTTTCATTTATTCGTTATTCCATATATTTATAAACTGTACTGTCTGTTGTGTTTGTAGAGTCTGTTTTGCCGCAACTTCTTCATGCACTTTGTTCTGGACCAGAGACACCACTGGAACACCTTGAACGTCAGCAGGTAACATTCTCTCTGATTTAATCCCCCTCCACCTTTCTACAAAATTTTCTTTTTTGTTTGTTTGTTTTCACGAAGGGCAAAAACAACTTTGAATTCCTACGAGACTGCAAAATGTTGCACATTAACACCCAGTGTAAATGTCCAGTCAGATTCCAATATTGTGCTAAGGCATTTACCTAAAAATTAACAAGATAAAAGAGTACTATTTGTATTTCAGGGCTGTAATTTCTGCCATCACAATGTCTAAATAAGCTGGTTCCCTTTTGAAACAAGAAACGATTGCAATCAGTTTGGTGCTAGGACCATTTCCATGGCGTCCAAAAGTTCTTTTTTTACAATAAATCATGAAAAAAATGGTGTTGCTGTGGATACCAGAAAGCAACAACAGCACAGTATTCATGTAACTTTCCCCTGTACAAACAGGTGCCCAAAAAAACACTCCCTGACCCCCCCTAAAATTGCAGTCTAAATTGGGGTGTGGTTTATCTTTAAGAACACTTTGAGGAGAAGTTGTAAATTTCCTTGAATTGTGGGAAATATTTTACTAGAGAAAGTAGTACTGATGATTTTCATGTTCATAGACATGCCCTTTTTCACGAAAGTTTGGGGCTTAAATTTTTTGGTGGATATCCTGTCATCTTGACTAACCAATCTTGATCAAGAAAAAAGCATTATCATATGGTATTTTTTGTCCTTCTCTGACAGGCACTTGCAAAGCAGTTTGCAGAAATTCTCGACTTCACACTTACATTCGATGACTTAAAGGTAATTTTAGGCATTACTGTTCCTCCTTGATGTAGGTTGTTAAGGGAAAGGAACTGGGAATTCATGTATTCATGGCATTACATGTATAAAATTCTGAAAATTAATCACTATCCCGCAGACAAGTATTAGGAATTTAAACCATAATGTTATTCACTGTATAGAGATTTATGGTCTCATCCACTTTTTGAACATTTGGGCCATGGTTGTTAGAACTGATCCTGTCACCTTAAAGCAACGTTATGTCAGTTCCATGAGCAGACGAGCAGGGCAGTCATCATGCCTTTGTGGAGTTCGTGTGAAACATTGGCTGATTAATTTTCTTCTTATGGTTTTTTTTCATTAACATTTCAGATGACAAATCCAGCAATTCAAAATGATTTTAGTTACTACAGGAGAACACTAAGCAGAAGAAAAATGGCCAATGCGGTAAGATGCTTATACTTTTATTGTTGTTGCTTACTTTTATTATTGTGGTTGGGTCAAATACCTCAAAAATTACCAAAGTAAAACCCCTTCATTTTAAACCACCCAAATCCTGAAACAGCATAGGGCGTGGTTACTTTCTGAAGCAACACATGAATTTTAAAAAAACTGCCAGTTTCTGATCTCTGTTTGAGACTTAAAGAATCCAGCATATATAATTAGGAAATTGAATAATTTTAATTTTCAGTGGATAAAAACCTTGTACTAGATTATTTAAGCCATATCGCATTCTTGTTCTACAGTTTTCAAGGGCTATATAGATGTAATTATTAGTCATCTGTAATAACACCAAAGACAATTTCTTATAGTAGCCAGAAAAAAATAACTTTCTTAATTTCACAGGAATTGAGAAAACACCAGTAAAATCGTCAAGCATAAGATTTCATTTTGTGAATTAAATTTGAGGCTTTTGAAGTCTTTTTTTTAGCTCCCATAAGAAACTTTTCTTTGGAGTTATTTCGTACAACTTATTACATTTACTGTATAGCCGGTGAAAAGTGTGAAAAAGAGTGCAATATGCGTGAAATTATTCTGGTACAAGGTTTTTGTCCAGTGAAAATTGAAATTACTCAATTTCCTCTTGGATTTCATCTTACACCTGTAATTGCTTTTGTTCACTTTTTGCTGGGGGCTGGGGAGGGGGTGTTGGCTGCGGGAGAATGAGTAGTTTGCCAAGTTTTCTTTTTTTTGCTGTTTCTTAAAGTTTATGAATTAATTTATGACCAACATTCACTGTGTTTTACAGGATGATGACAATGAAGGAATTCAGGTTTCAAATGAAATGGCCAACAGGATGTCCCTATTTTATGCTTATCCCACTCCTATCTTAAAAATCCTCAGTGATGCCACATCAAAGTTTGTCACAGAGGTATGAAGTGCTCATTATAAGTTTCTTAAAGTACACATGGGCAACTGACTGTTTACAGTTCAGGCGCAGATCCACACCTGTTTCAATCTGAAATCAGTCAGATTGTTCATAATAAACATTTTTCCAAAGTTCAAATCTGGAAAAATGGTTTGGACGAATTTGTCCAAACCATTTGATGTTTTTTTTTCTTTTTCGTAGCTTTTCTTCCAACTTCCAGGCATTAGAAATAATGATATTAATAATCTGCCGAGTTGAAAGGCTTCATCCAAGGAGAATGGAACTGGCCAATATCCTGTCTCAGTGACTCAGAAACCCAGGAACAGCAAAGGGGACTTTAGGGAGTTAAAATCTAAAAACGTTCTTAGAGAAGCATTGTCTGATGATCTTTTGAAACTTATCAGTTGTACGCTCTTTAACAATTTTATTTATGTTTTTCCCTTTTTCAGAACAAATCTATTCCCATAGAAAATACAACAAATTTCCTTAGTGTGTTAGCAAATCTATGCAGAACAATGCTAGAAGATCCGTGAGTACTTGATGTTCATTGCTCTACTAATTGACCATAAATTTAAATTCAACGTAGGGTGTTGTGTTGTGTTGAAATGTGCAAAACCTTGAAACCATGAGTTGTAACTTAAATGTCTTTGTTTGTATTTTGCTTAACACCCATTAAGTCGTGAGTGGCTGTCACGAATGGTTTGGCATTTCCTTTGTGCACCACAGCCTAAACAGCAATACAACACAATGTTCATCATGAGTGTACTATTAAATTCTCTGTCAATATCAATTAGAGTCTTAGGCTTCTTATAATTGTTTTTTTTTTTCGGCGTAATCACAAAATCTTGTTTGTTTCTTGTAGGGAGTTTCCCTCGAAAATCGCAAACCAAGAAACATATCTTTTTTGTCTTCGTGTAATGGTGAGTTTTGTCCAAGATTGCAGTCTTGGACAGATTAAAATGGAACAGCAAACCTCTCATCCCCCCAAACTATCAAGGATGAAACCACCCAAAGTCCAAAACGCGCCATTTTCCCATCATTGATTTCTTTGTTGTTGTTGTTGTTTGGTGGGGGTGGGGGTGGGGAGTGGTTTCCGTTTCTGTTTACCTTCTCCAAGATTGTAGCCTGCCTAGCAGTAGCGGTTTGTCAGGGCGAGTTCATCAGCTTTCGCGAAATAACTCGATCGGAAACGCTCGCTAGGCTAGCTGTAATGAATCTCGTTTAAATATACTAGTTTGTAGAAATGTGTAATTGAAATGAAATGTATTTTTTCCAGGTTGGTCTTATAATTCTTTATGATCATGTACATCCCATAGGAGCATTCGCTAAAAACTCAACTATAGATGTAAGTTTATTATTTAAATCTACTTCTAATAATTTTTATTATACATTCAAAATATTTCTCCGTTTCTGATTGGCGAAAATCCCACTCATTCATCATAACAAGCTACTGTCGACCAAATTTGGAAGAATTTTGCGATTTGGGAAAAATGACGTCAATTGTGCAGCAAAATTGCCAGATTATTGAACCGCCAACCGAGAAGACCTGAGGCCGAGGTTGAGATGTTTTGGTAGTGAGTACAAAAAGGCGGAACATTTGACTCGTTTCACAAAGAAGAAATGAGCGAACTATTGGCTTAAAATATACCAAGAACAGCAAGAAGACAACTTGACTGACGCCATCTGCTATTTGGAGAATATATGCAGTGTTGAGCAACCCTTTATCTCCTAAACTTGCCGATAAACAAGTAACTGAAGATGAACTTAAAATCGATAGAGGTAAGCATGTATTAGCTTGTTTTTAAACGAGGTTCAATTGTTAATAAAACAACTATTGAATTCGGCTTTCGTATAATCTGAAGAATTATGGAGATCTCAGAGGGTGGCTCAGCAGCCTCATCCAATTTGTTAATTCTCCATCCACATGAAACCTCTTTGGTGGTCGGACTTTCGCGCGGCACCATTTCGTTTGACATTCTCTGTTTAAATGAGATTTGGAATTTTTCTTTAATCAGTGTCTGAAAGGGCTTAGAAAGACTTTCTTTAAGTCCGTTATTGTTGGGTTATCTCGTGAATTCGCTATATAAAAAGTCGACTTTTGAGCCAGTCTAGGGCTTGAATAATATGTAGTCCTAGAAAATATCCATACCGCCCACCCCTTCCCTTACGGACGGCGATGGAAATTCCTAGGCAAGGGGGTCCAACAGGACGCAATTTCCGAAGGGGTGGGGAGTGGCTTCTCGAGTTCTTTTTTCCGGGGCTCCGAGTAAGACTGGTGAGTTATCAAAAACTAACATCCTCTCCGTTGAGCAAGCTGGCAGTTATTGTACTGTTAACGGTCTTAAAATAAGAATTATTGTTTTGATTGATGATATTTTATGAACGGTCGGCTGAATTTTGTTTTTCACGCCTTATGCGACAGATAGTTGTCATTGGCGTCTAAATCAAAAGTCTCCTCCGTAGGGGGGGTGGGGGGGCGGGGGTATGGATATTTTTTTCCGGGAATACACAATTACAGGGACTCTCAATGAACACCCACGGTAAACAATTTTAAACTGTTTACTATGAACCCTGCATTAGTTTGAGTTGATAGATATTGTGGGCTTAAGTTTCCAAAGCAATTGGTCACACATATTTTCATCTGCTTTTCTAACCAACAAGAAGCAATTATTTTCCTGGGCTTTAGGACAAAAGGACGAAAAGAACATCTTAGCTTTTCAATTCTCTGTCTACTAATAGGCCATTTCCGAGTTCCCCCGGGCCTCTGTTTCTTAACGAGGGTAGGTGCTCAGCCTTTGATATTTCATTCTCATGCAAATAAAACTCATTTTCACAAGAAAGGTTGTGCACGTAGCCTCATTTTGAAAGTGAGGGTTTTTGGAACTCGGCAACTTGAAATCTTTCTGGAAACCCTTATAGTTTTTTCATAAAGAGAAAGCTTTCAAGATATTTATATGGGACCATAACGTCTTGATTTCAGATATACGTTGTGCTTTACTTAAGTTTTTTTATCGTATGTAACTTGTTAATGATGTCTGGTTTTGGTATTACAGATAAAAGCAACAATAAAAGTGTTAAAAGATCAACAACAAGGTTCGGTAGATGGTCTCCTTAATGCTTTACGGTAAGAATGCTTAGATCATAGTCTTAAACACTTCTGTAAGATTGTTATGTTAAGGGCACACAATTATCAAAAAAGGAAGAAGACAGAGACCATTGCTTTCATAATGTAATAGACCAAACTAGTCCTAGGTGTTATCCTCTTTAAATTTGTCCAGGATACCCTGGGTATAAGAGATTTTTTTTTCGCGTGTGGCGGGAATCTTCGGTGAAGCTTCAGTGCCGGCGGAAGGCTGCCTTATCTTCAGCCGTAGACTAAGACCGAAGCCACGGGCATGACAAAGTCCGTATAACCGCGCAGGAAAAATTTCTGGCACCCAGGGTATATCCAGGGCTGTGGCCTGACGAAAATCTGTACCAAGGAATGTAAATTAACCTTTTTATTCTGGCGCCGCCCAAATAGAGTAATCGAGTTCGCTTGTCGTTTGATTCAAACTCAAAAGGGTACGAAACCTGAAAGAAAAACGCGTACTAGCAATTGACAATGTTTTATTGGTGTTTGTTATACACCTGTCTGGTGTATAAAAAAAGGTTCGGATTTATTTTAACCAATCACAAAACTGGTATAGCGATGCAAACCAAAACAGTCACGAAATTACTTCAACACTCTTATGAGAAATACCTTTATCGTTCTCTGTGGCTCCTTTGGGATGATCAGGATTAGGATTGGCCGTTTTCACACTATAGGACGCATTATCCGTCAAGATGGATAGTGCATCTGTGGCTGTTTTTATACTACAGTCGTATTATCTGTCTGGACGAACTTGGGCAAACATTTGAAGTTCGTCTTATTATGGGTCACGAGTATAAAGACGGGCGCAAGACATATTATGCGCCTGGACGAACTATCCTTCGTAAGACGTCTGGAACGACGCACTACGAAAGGTACTGAGTTCGTCTGAACGCATCATGCGTCTTGTGCCCGTCCTTATACTTGAGACTCGTAACCAGACGAACTACAAAGTGTTTGCCCAAGTTACCGCGGCAGCCTTAGCTCAGTCGGTAGAGCGCTTGACTGCAGAGCGGGAGGTAGCGGGTTCGATTCCCGGGACCGGACCAATACTCAGGGTCTTAAAAATAACTGAGAATTGAAGGTACTGCCTTAACGGCTGGACCTTCGCGTGGCTCGGATGACCACGTAAAATGGCGGTCCCGTCAACTGAAGGAGACGTAAAAAATAGTGTCTCCAATTAGTGCTTTCGTGCTAAATACATTGACACTCAAATAAAGTGCCTTTTTTTTTTCGTCTAGACGGATAGTGCGTCCTCGGTATAAAAACGGCCATTCATGATCCAAGATCACTCGGATCATGGTGCATCAATTCGACACTTTAGAAACGAGAAGGGCGCTTTCCATTCAACAAAAATTCCGGTTTGAAATTTCGGAAATTCCACTTGCCCAATGGAACGATACATTCCGGTTGCACAGACCTGACCCAAGCCACCACGTGTTACTGTCTGGTTATTGCTCTTGTAAGCATGACGCAAAAGAGCAGTACTGGGCCAACAGTGTTCAGTACTGGGCCAACAGTGTTTTCAAATGAAAAGGGACATTTTGGTCCGAACGACAGAAATGACCGGACCGGTCAAAGTGCACCACCTTCAAAGGTTGTCCCAAGTATTCCGGTCAGACCGAACGGATGGTCCATTCCATTTTATTTCTATCCGAAATTTCCGGAATTTTGGGCTGAATGGAAAGTGCCCATTTCAGCTTCTTGCTTAGAATTCGAAATTAGATCATCTGATCAAGGCCCCCTTTCTTTCTGGTTTTAGGTATAGTACGAAGCACTTAAACGATGATACTACGCCAAAGAACATCAAAGCCCTTCTTGTTTGAGAGATCGTCCGTTGAAATTATCTTGAAGGCTCTGGGTGATGGCCGTGGTGCTTAAAATAACGCTGAACTTTGCAGGCAGAATGTAACCAGGGTTGATGTATAAAACTTCTAACACTCTATCTACTTAAACGCAACTTAAACATTAATTAATTTCTTTCCACTGGGAACCATGATCAAAACTTCCTCTATCAACACGTGTATTATCTTATATTGGGGTCGCCTTTCGCTGTTATCTGGTGTTGTCTTGTATAAATAACGAAACTACATGGTCCCTTTTTTTTGCGAGCAAACTCTTTAAGATTGCAGGAAAAGCCAAGATCAGGCAGTGGCTGACATTGTACAATGCGCGACTGAGAGTTGTCGGGCGGGCGAGCGACGGGTGAGCAAATCGAGTGAGAATAATTGAGTTAAACTAGTGTGAGCCGAGAGGAAATTAGAGAAAAAACGCGTTTGCTTGGTCAACGTTGAGCACGGTACATCGTTTACTGCGCTTTTCACAAACATGCGAACTCTATATTTCAAAAGCCGCCTTCACAATTGCGTTTTTCGCTGCCGTCAATCATAATTATGATCACAAGCAACGAACCAGGAAACACAGAAACACACAAAACGGATCGAAATCCACCAATCACAAACCTTGACCTTTTGAACCGGTTAAAGTAAAGTTTCGTGTCCTAAGAGGTCCGTTAAGATGATTGACGGCAGCGAAAAACGCAATCGTCAGTTGGCTTTTGAACTTCAGAATTTGCATGTTTGTGAAAAGCGCAGTAAGGCGTTTTTCTTTTTATTTACTAGGATTTCATTTACTTTTTCTGTCGGAATCGTAAGCAACAAAGTATAAGTGTAACTTTATTTCCACTGTGATTAACAAATCGACCACAATTTTCCATGTTCTACACTCTTATAGACCATAGAAATGACGTCATACAATGTTCAAACCTCAAGTGGAACCACAAGCCGCAGGCGAGTGGTTTCACTGCAAAATTTTGAACTTTTTATGGCGTCATTTCTATGGTCTGTAAGAGTGTGGACCATGGAAAATTGTGGTCGCCTTGTTTTTTACAATAACATTTATTTTTTTTACAAAAACCCAAAAACAAAACAACCGGCACTGAGTGACATGTTACGTCATTTCCATGGTGTATAATCTCATAGACCATAGCTCTCGACCAATCAGCGCGCAAGGATTCGCTCAGTTACTGTAAAACAAAATATTGAGCATTTTCGTTGAAGATTCAAAAGAGAGCAAAATTCTTATTGATGTTGACAAATAGCGCCGACAAGTTTGCAGTTTCCAAACACAAAAACCTTTTTCAGTAAACCAACGGATCCAACTTTAAAACTGAAAATGACAATATTAGTTTTAAGTACTTTTCTTATCCTTTGTAAATTTCCCTCGGAGTCAAAGTCTCGCCGACGCTAGCCGTACAACTCGTCCACTCGACAAACTGAAAAGGGATTGTTAGCATTTTGTTTGATAACATTTTTTATTCACTACTCTGGTAACAGTGATATTTAAAACTGGAAAAATCATCGCAAGTTTAAAGAATTTAGCCCACTTGTTTCGTTGTTTATATCTCATAGTTATGTAAAATATTCTCTACGCTTTGATCAAGAAAAAGACACACTTCACTGTAGCGTGAATCTGGGCTTTTTTTGACATATAAAAGGGCAATGCTTTTTTGTCTAATTTTGTGAGATCCAGGTTCCCAAAACCGCGATTAGTTACTTCAAAAAGGGCGGATCCGATTTTGTAAAACGAAGCCAAGTGGACAGGAATTATTGGACTAAGAGAACTTCAATTGTTTTCATGGTAAAGAGACACGTAGAAAATCACTTTTCGCGAGGAGTCATAGCTCTAGTTTGTGTTGCCCCATTTTTTCGCGCGTCTTTTATTTCAGTCAATCACTTTCCTTATTAGGGAGTTGAGCAAGCGTTTTTGAGCCAGTCACGTCAACCGGAAGTGATGTCTTTTCCCTTTTAACCCTTTAAGCCCCAAGATCCACGTACAAATTCTCCAGACTGATCTCCATACATTTCTTTTGAGAAAAGTTGTGAGATCAAAGTGTTCTCTCTTTGGTAATCAATTAAGTAATTCTCATAACCTTTACTTTTGATGATCTGCTGATGTTGTTGGGAGAAAATTGATGTTGGTCACTCTTGGGACCTAAAGGCTTAATGTACGTTGACGCTTTCAAATTTTCAAAAGTGCTCGAAAATTGGGGCAAACTCTTTGACCAAAAATGCAATAAGAGCACCTCCGCTTGACGAGCGTCGCTTAAAAATGTCTTTGCGTAGGCTTAACTTTGCTGGAAAAAAGAAAGTGAGAAGCTACTCGTAGATTAAGGCACCCTAGCTCCAGAGATGCGTTCTCGAAATACCTAGGGTGAAAAAACCTGGGCGCACGACAGGAATAAGGAAAGAAAAAAAAAACCTCAGCACCCTGGGTAAGACTAAGGGCGTTAAGAGACCATGAACGGTTGTCGAGAACTCCTAGTCAAAATTCTTCCTTGTTTGAGCTATTGTTGTTTTCTGATGGTCCGCTGGTTATTCTGCACACACACACACCCACTGGTCCCATTACGAACTCATTCTGTTAGTCCCAAGGTTGAAGCATTATTTTTTCCTTCAGCTGAAAACTTTTTTGAAAGTTGTAAATGAAAAGTTAATGCGAAGACTTGCTATAATTCTTTACGCACAGCTCGCATATCGACTAGGGAGCTCGGCCTTCAAGCATCGAGTCAGATTGGTTGCTTTTTTTCAGAGTGAACTGTGAGAGTTGGGTATCCTGTTATTCCAGGAGCCCCTGTTAACACAGAAATCGCTCACTTGTGACTTCAGTCCCATGCACACCACTGACATAAAACTTCGAAGGCTAAACTGATTGTGGCTCGTGTTTACTACAGTGGAACTTTTTTCTGTCTTGTCAGTCATCGGTCAATAATGTTAAACGGTAGAGACCTTAAGATTCTAAGACGAGGACGACCTCTAGAACGATTTTTCCTCAGCGCGTGCACGTAAACGCATGTCATGGCGGGAAAGCGTGATAGCCGTGATCATTTTACTACGAGTTTTAGCTGGACGTTTTATGACTTTGCGATCGGGAGAGGGCTTAACTTCCTTCAATAAAAATAACCCTAATAACTCTTCCAGCGTAGAAAGTACAGTGAGCTTTCCGGGGGGTATACTTTTTTAGAATACGCGAACAAATCTTTGTAAGTGAAATTTCGTCCTCGAATCCTAAGGTCTTTATTGTATAGCAAAACACGTTTTAGCTCTTGTGTGAGTGGTGAGAAGGTGTACGTTTGAAGCTGAAATCTTACTAAATTAGGTGAATTAACCCTCCTTTCTTTAAGGCCACTTGCATTTTAGTAAATTCACATTAAAATACACAATAATTAAAAGTTATCCATGAGTTCAGTGAAAGCCGTTTTTGTACAGAATTGCATTTTCATCATTGTAGATCCCAGATATCTTACATTTAGGTAATTAATCTAGGAAGACCTCTTTGAATAATATTTAGAGTATGAATAAGTAGGCTTTTAAATTGTTTTACAACTGAATTTTTGTATGAAATGCGAGTATATTTTGTTCAACATTTCCCCTGTCAAATAAGTGTACCTTTAATTTTGTATTCCTAGAAATATCAAATTGTAGCTTAGATTACATGTAGTCAATCGCCTCCTGTAGAACTGTGTGAACTGAAATGAAAAAGGTTGTTACTTCTGATTGTTCACTTTACTTTCGTTGAGAAATTTATCCGCTAGTATCAAAAATTTTGAAGAAACGTTTCAAAATGCATGTTAGAAATACTGGGCCCAATCAAGGCCCAATTTCCTTCGCCTTCTCTTGAACCGTTATCCGCGCGAATCTGGGAAGGGGTTGGCCTGCGAAAACAGCCGTTTCTCCTCGCGTGATGAACGAGGAGAAAAGTCTGTTTTCGCATGCTAGGAAGGGGTAATGGCCTATTGGCAATAAATATTATTGACAGTATTAAGTGTCAGTTGTCTCCTGAAAGCATGTTGACTTTTCTTATTTGCCCAAGTGTACAAAATCTTTTTTATACATTTTAGAAAATGAGAACTTGTTTCAAATTTTAGACTAATCGGGTTCTTTTATAAAGGGGGCCTAGCTGACAAATTTTCGCCCAACATGTTCTTAAAAACCGCGTTCTTACTCGCAAGCTTTTACTGCATTCGCAGACCTTGAATCGGGGCGATAATACAATTGCAACAAGACGCCCATTAGGACATGAATATTTAAAGAATATATTGCCTAATAAGTCCATTCATTGTTTTCTGATTGTGTATAAACACGTTCCGCTTTAACCTGCGTTTTTCGGGTTTTCGGTGATCGCAGATCATCGATCAAAGTCCGTAAATCGATAGCCGGCTTCCCAAACACTATTGCGAAATTTTAATTTGGCAACGTCACATCCACGAAAGCATCGCGCGGTTTCATAGTCCCCGAGCCGGGCACATAGTATCATAGGTCTCCTGTACGCCACCAAAGAGGAAGGTTTCATCAGGCAAAAACGAGAAAATTCCGCGTTTGTCACGAATGTTTTCTCACAGTGGAACCCCGCTCTACGGACACCCGGATATAACAGACAGTTTCGTTGTCCCCCGTGGGGAGGGGGACTCTGCATATGAAAGGGGTGGGGATGCTCGTCGGAAATTTTGAATTAAACCCCTAAAGAAGACCGATCTGGGCGTGGTCCAAGCGCAGCTTTTTTTTACCCCTAAAAGAGACCATGTTAAAACACAAACAAATGAGAAAACTTTGATTATATGAATGGAGTAAATAAAACGAATTTAAAATATACATATCAAATATATATTTTTATATTTTTTCGCGTGCAACGCTAAACGAGTCCTTCACGGCTAAATATGATAGCGTTTTGCCCAGAACACCCTAAATGAGACCAAAATTCGAAATTTACACCCCTAAGCGAGACGAAGAGCATCCCCACCACTTTCATATGCGGAGTCCCCCCTCCCCCGGGCGTTGTCCCAACGAAAACCTGAAAATAAGCACCGCGGCGCTAATTTGGACCTTTAGGAATTAACGCCCCACTTTTGTCACGGCGCTTGATATAAAAAGATATTAATTTAAACCATATCGGTTGAGAAATAAGACCTCGACCAACTCGTGAGTTCTAAAGTTTTAATGTAGGGAAACTGTTCAAACCGGGTTCATATAACAGTTCGAGGTACATATTTTATACTGAATTGTAGATACCTAGTACGCGCCTCACTTAATTCTCTCTACATTACCCTCAGTGTTTTACCCGTAGTTGAAATAAGTGTCGCTCTCGGATAAGCACGCACCTATGACAGGGAAAATGAAATAAGCGCCGGGGCGCTTAATCGATCATTTACGGTAAGCAACGTCGACGACAGCAAAGAGAACGGCAAAAAACAATAGGTTTAGATTAGCTTTGCATGTGACACACTTTTTTTTACATTTCTTCACCGTCGTTTCACGACGCCATGTGAAGCCATCGTCGTCTATGCTAAGCCGCTGCCATTAATTTTCCTTCATCCTTTTCACTTTTGACCTGCTGCCGCGCGCGCTGCCGCAGGTTACATTTCTGTCACACCATCACGTAAGGTGGTGACCTTGAAATCACGCTTGGACGGTATAGAAGCCCTGAATTTTGATATTTCTATCGAGGTATGATGATGGACACGTGCGTTGTCTCGCTATTTTCATGTGTCGTGTACGCCAGTCTCCGTAATTTTCGGATCAACACGCAGCTTCTTATAATCGTTATTCCACCGGTGTCAGCTTTATCATGCACAGGAAGAAAGAGAGAGAAGGAGAAGGAGGAGAAGTATCGAGAGAGGACCAAATCTACAGTTAGTGTGGTCTACGACCGCACGCGATAGCAACACACTTCGTTGAGGTACAGCTATACTTGTTTTTAACCTTGTGAATCTGTTAATGACATTAGTTTCCTAGATTTAAACCTTTTGCAATAAATTCAAACCACCTATTTTTAAGTTCGTTTCTGAAAAAAGTTTTGTCAGTGGTCCGAAGTCGATAGATTCAAAATCAAACGATTGACCTTTTTTGAACAGGATCAATTCGAATTCTCGAATAACAATTCTTGATTACGATTTTCTTCAACTCAGCAAGAGAACAGATGTATGGACGCTGGGCACAGTTAATCAAAAGCTACTGATAGTCTCCTCTCGTCTCAGTTATTTTAAAGCACTTGGCTTGAAAGTGATTGCGATAAACACTTTTAATCACGTAATTGTTGCAGTTCCGAATGTGTACTCCAAGAAACGGTCTAAGCTATCATTCAAAAAAAATATTTAGCAAAAGTGTATGATTGCATCATTAGCATGAAAAAGACCTCAAGTGGGCCTTTTGCGTTCTCCCTTAACCTGTTTAGACCGTTTAACGGCCAATAGATGAAGAAGCTTGTGTGCAGAAAATCGGCTAGTTTATACACATCAAAAGATAGTTCAAGACTGTTTTAGCTACTATTTTTTTTCCGGATACTAGACTCAAGAAATGGACACGTAGGTTGTGACAGCGTCACTGATGTGTAACCGCAATGTATCTACACGTATGAATGAGTGAATGAACCTTAATAATTTTGAGTGTCTGAGTACTATATTTAGCTGATTGGTGACATTGAAATAAAAGTCAAAATTGAAAATAGAAATAGTGCTATAAATTATGCTGAGATAAATTTTAAAATTTGCCATCCTCAAAGAAGTAAATAGTCTAAATAGTATTATGCTAGGATAGGTCTAGGTTTCGCACGACATCCGCATAAACTTGACTGAGTTATCATGAGGAAATCAAACCAAATTAAGAAATAAAAAACAAGGAAAGTGTTTAAAGGGTCCCTCGTGCTCATCATCCATAAAATTCTCAGGCGCTTAACATAAAATCTACTACATTGATAACCCTCGAGAAAAACTCTATAAGCTTTAATGCGTGCGTGATTATGACGATCAAAAAACCTCACAAGGTTATCATATAGTTACGTGATTATTCTTCCCATTAGGGTCTCTAATTATACCTCTAACCAGTCCTATAAAAACCCATCAGAAATCCATGCCAATACACGAAGCGTTCTTCAAGAGCGGGAAAAACGTGATCCGACAATTTCTGATGCTCTGATTGGCTGAGTAACTGGCGCGAGATTTTTAGCTAATCATGCTCATCGGTACGAATTTAGACCTCAACTGTCGTGAAATTACTGCTCTAATGAACTCGATCAGTAGGCAGCAAATGATTTTTGTCTTAACTTGTTACTGATAATTGTTGGCATAGACCAGCCTAACCATCATGACACTTTCTCTTGTTCTCCTCTCTTCAAAAAGTTTATGCACGTACGATCGTCAATTTGGAGTCTCGTATCAATGTAAGAAGTTCAACTTAAGTATAGATCTTCTCCCGGCTCAACAGTCAACTTGGTTTTAGTGGCAGGGGTCGAGACAAGAGTAAACGTATTCGAGGAGACAAAAAAAATTACACAATGTAGGAGGGTGGCCTTAGCTTTCCACGGTAGACCTTGGACCGGCTGTATAAACTGACAATTCTAAATCAGCCATGATCCAAGGAATTTGGGTTAAATCGGCACAATTTGGAAACAAATAGTTCACTTGACAAATATCATAGCTTAACTATTAAAGCAACTAAAAAACATCGTTAGTGGTTGGTGTTTTGGAAGTTAGGATGTTCGCCGGTAAAATACTGTCAAACCCTCTCACCTACCCGGCGTACCGTGTGGCACGGGATTTTTGCGGGTTCTAATTTTGCGATTTTTCCAGCGATACGCAAAAACAAGTTCCCGCAAATAAAAATTACCGCAAAAATTTACTCCAGAGAAAATATTCTCTAGCTTAAATTCACCACACAAAAATACAGTACTGGCAAATCGTGTCTGTTCACTTAGTCTCTTTCTTTCAGAAACAAAGCGGTATACAATGAAATACTGACGCACACCGTCACATTGTTTGAAAATATGTATTTCTATTGCACGTACTCAATAAAAACGAAAATATTATTAATGCTTGGTACAGGGTACTTTATAAATCCCGGCAAGAAAAACCAATCTGTCCCAATCGCAAAAATTAATTCCCGAAAACACAAAAAATCGCCCTTCCGCAAAAATAAACTCCGGCAAAAATTTCTTTCCAGACAGTAGCCTATGTCCAAAATACCGCCGTTCTGAATGATTCTAGCAGAGTTGTACCGTATTCTCATGCATTGAATGGTTTGAATGTGCTTGCGATTTTCACTGGAAGTTAAGAATTGCGGGTGAGCTGTGCAACAGAATCAGATCGCAAGCTTGTGTTGCCTTTCTTGGGAATGTAACAGTAATGGGGAATATGTAGGATTGCGCCTTTTTTAGTTTATATCGGTTTCTAGGTGATGAAAAAGTCTTATCGGTTTTAAACAGGTTGGAGGCGAGCGGAACCGAGTGATAGGTACCCGAGTGATAACGCACGGTGGACGCCTCTTTTCCGTGACTTGGGCTACACTCGATTGTTGTAAAATTCAGTGAAAACGTCATGACTAGAAAGTGCAAAAAATTTAATGCAAAACACATGTTAGAAGATCACTACAAGTTCCTGTTTTCTTAGGCAGTTAACATAAAAGAGTTTCGAAACCAAAGCTGATACTACTTTACTCTTCTTCTGTTTCGATGAAAGTAAAACTTTTTTAAAAAAGAAAACAATATCAATGGAAGCTGCAGACCGTTGATAAGTAAAATTAAGACCCACAACTCTGATATGATCCGTGTGCTAAGAGCACGACACGGAATGACTAGTCAGGGTATATGTATAAACCACTCTTTTTTTCCGTGAGTACCACCCCACTGGCTCCAGACACTATACAGGATCATTGTTTCGGCTACAGACAAGTCGAGTTGTTTCGCTTTTTCCTGTCATAATTTATTGTAAAACTGAAAGAAAAACACCACCATCGGTGGAGTATGAACTTATAAATAGCTACAATAACCAAAAGATAATCAGAAAGCTATTTCAGAAAGTGAAACAAATTGGACTGGTGACGAAGAAAATTAACTCATTACGTACGTCATCACGTTTGTACCCAGTCCCGCTCAAAAGTCTCAGACTCGAGTAAAAACAAAGAATGCTTGTAGATTATACAGCTTTATTATAGTCGGCGAACAAAACCAAATATTGATATACCAGAATAACATCAGAAATGATTTTGCACGCAAGTTTCAAAGCTTAAAAATCGACATTTATTTAGGGACGTTATTCCCTGGCGATAAAGAGGTGTAACACCAAGACAACTACGGAATGCCTCTGCATTTAAAATACATTATTTGTACCGAAATTCACCTTCACGTGCTCCTTCGAAATTTACAGTCATTGACGGTATTTCCTTTCTCTTTTATAAATTGAATTTACATATAATTGGACACAATAATGGCTGTTTGCTTTTAAAAAACGAAAGATTACAAATCTTGCATGCGAACGAGACAGTGCATCTTTGATCGTATCTGCATCTTTCCGAACGTGATCTTGTTAAAAGTGATCCGTTCAAAAAATAGTTTGTTGTCCTGTCACGTTTTAGAAGCACTTTCCTCTTTGTTAGAAACACCGCAACTTTAGTAAGACGGATATTGATGCTTATTTCTCGAAACCGCCGATTAAGAATCTTCCATTTGGCTAAATCCCAAACAAACAGACGATTATGAGCCTGTATTGACCTTACTCAGCCATGACAAAAGACATGTTGATTGACGGCCACAGTTTTACGGAGCTGATTTCATGCAAGTAGTTAGTTTTCTGTTGGCTACCAAGAGTAACAGAACTGAGCTAGCAGACTGAATTCTAAAAATTTGCCGATTGATTTGATTTCCCCCAACCATATAACCGCAACTGAGTAAGAAAGGTCAGTAAATTCAGTAGTTTTAAGAGTTTTTTCTCCTTTTTAAGGGTAACAGAAAGGTATTCTCGGCTTAAAATGTAAAGAACAGTAGACATTTCTCGTATTGCTAGCTATAAATTTTACGTTTAGTACGAACATTAGAAAACTTTTTTATACTGAAACTTGAAGGCTGGTCATTTGGCTCCATTTGGCTTTTCCAGCATGATTTGCCCGCAGGAGGACATTGAATGATTTTATTCTCATTCGTTCACTCTCATTCTTTTTCATTAAATCTCAGCCAGTCGTTCATTTGGTCCAATGAATTTAGAGCCAAGAATAAGCAATCTTACAATCCGGCCCCAATGCAGTGTGGGTGGTCAGTGCTCTTTCAAAAATGAAAATGACGCCTCGGAGACTCTTTCTCTCTGACTTCATTCATTCATTTTTCTCATGTATTTATTTGTTTATTTATTTGTATTTTTGGACTAGTCATTATCCTGGTGGAAGTTGCCTTAGAATTGCTCTTTTGAAATCTTACAGGATTTTTTCAGTCGAATAAGTTTCTATGCATGGTTTTCAACTCTAACGATCTTCCTAAGAGTAATATAAGCGATACGATATGCGGTTCATTTTTCCTTATGCTTTTAAACATATCACTAGTTTTTGGAGACGGATATTGAGAATTGAAATGTATAGTTGAATTACCGTTTACTAATTAACGGATAATATGAAGTGTTAGTCCTGCATGAATGGACGGAACTTGCAGTCTTGTAGCTAATGCCTTACGGAAATAACTGTAGGGTGTCAGACTTGTCAGTGGATTAGAACGAACAACTAAATATGATTACTTTTAGAACACTCGTCAGTTATTCAATGTAAGTGCGACTGTACTTGAACTGGACAATAGCTTTGAATGGGGTAAAACATGCATGAATGAAAATGCGCAAATCTGATATTGTCTTAGCAGTATTCATGTTCATTTGTAACTCATGCAAACAAGCTACTCTGCTCAAAGACTTGTTGTAGCCGAAAATCCCGGTTAAGGAACCGGTGAAATCTGCTTTGCCCACCCCTTTCCGGCTAGCTTGCTGTCCGCAAAATATATAATCCTACTTCTGGAAAACCGTTATCACAATTCGATTTCTCTTACTCGAAATTACTAATCACACATAAAATTGTATAACAAAAATAGGTGTAATCAGTAGGATTAAAGTCCTTGTGTACGATACGATTCAGTAATTTTCATTACAACCAGTCTACTTTTGTTCCCATTTTGTAATTATTGCAACGGAAACCAATATTAACTTACAGGAATATCATACCAGTTTCTTGCGGAACGTCTGGCAACGCGTGCAAAAGCCTCCCATCTGGCGCGAAATTAAATGTGGCGCGTGTTCTTCCCAGCCCCCCTCTGGTCTAGCTCACGTACACATTTTCCTCGGGCACAAGCTTAAAGAGTTGCACGGTTTATCAATGATGCGGAGTAAAACGCTAGAGATTTACTGCTGACAACGTTGATTGTGATTGATACACAAGACATCACATACTAGACGATTATAATACTTTAGATTATTAGGCTTTTGTCACTGTATAATCACGCTGCCTATGACGCAAAAAGCGCTCTACATGAATCGAAACCTTCAAAGGTATCGCTGATTTGTATGCCAAGTGTTCTTGTTAGAAGAAGAGTAAAGATTTCAAGTATCTCTTAAAAAAATAACCTTTAAAGGCAGCGGCACCGTTGATACTTTTTTTCTCTGTCGCAATTTTAAAGTGTTAATTGAATTCGGATTTCTTTTTGAACACGGTCAAAGAGCCTCTTTCCTCAAACGGGCGGGAAAATCGTTCAGCTAGAACTGAGTGCCTTTCGAAACATATCCTTACGGATAGCAAAGGATCCACTAACATAAAAGCTTACTCTTTTAAACAACTAGGGGTTCTTTGGTGCTTTCCTGGGGGTCTCTAAATACTCATAATATTGCCGACACGAAAGCAAAACTTAAGGAATCTCGCCGAAATAGCTCATTGACACGATGGCAAAGATATCCTTAGTTAAGGTCTTTATTATCGATGATTGGCTCTCAGAAGAATCGAGCGCCACCACTTTTCAAGTGGCGGTATTTATAGATATATCAGTACATTACTTTGGGGTACACAAAAGGTCAAGTTTTTGATAAGACAGCAATGTCATAGTTAAATGCCTTCACCGAGTTTGCACGCAACTCAAAAATTCATCATTGGGTGACTTTGAGAAACCAAACTTTGGATGTTCGGTCTGAGAGCAATTCAGTTCGAAGGAGAAACCTTAAAGGGCCGTCTTTCAAACGTTTAGTTGCTGTGTTGAAATTTCGATGAAGTCAGTCAAGTGCAGTTGAGGCACGCAATTGCAATGTTTAGACCAATCCAGAATATGGCAGACAACAAGAATTTGTTTTTAAAAATCGTGACCTTTATCTTGAGTGCAAGGAAGCAAGGCGGAAAGGAAAAGAAAGAATGTTCTTCTTTGAGCTTCAATCGCCGTCTACTTGCATGTTTTATTGTTGTGATAAAATCGTCAAGCTGTTTAACCCTTGTGGATCCTTACGATGATGGAATTTTTATTAATTTGTTTAACTAAGATGCCTAGTGGATGAGTTTTTCCGTTGCGTCCAGGAATTTATAATGTTGATATTTTAATCAGTTTAGCATAACTTCTGAAAAGAACGGATTACACGGCCGGTCTGAATTTCACGATATTTCTCGTTTTTCAAGATACTAGAAGAAATATTTTTCTACACTTCTTTTGGTCTTACCCGTGTAAAATATCAAAAACTTTCCACTTCCTTCCACCCGTAAACTTGGGAAAGTTGATCCTAAAAACATTCTTGTTTAAATATGTAACATAAGCAAATCATGTTTAATTCTGTTTCATTTTAAAATAAAACCTGCCAAAGGCCTCGAAAGGTCACAACAAATAAATGAATCCGTTAAACGATTTTAGCAATTTTTAATAATGTTACATGTCACGAAACAAAGTTTAATACCGAAAAAGGTGCGTAGCCTTGACGGGTACTTTTTTGAAGCGAAAGCCCCGTTTTAAAAGTCACATTTTCTCCTGATGTCCCGAATTCAATGCTAATGAGGAAAGTCAATTTTTCTCGCTCATTTGCAGTAAATTCGGCACGTTTGAACCGAGCCTAACTTTTTAAAAATCATTTGGCAATGATTTTATTTTTGTGAAAGAGTTTTCTTCTCTGTTCAAAGCACTTTTCCATTCTATTTTTACGGTAACAACTTAATTAAACAAGAATTTCTTGAGTTTATTTAAGAAGACAATAATAACAACTTTGTAAACGACTATTTACTGTCATATTAATGATACTCATTTTGTAATAGTAGAGCATTTAGAACATTTGTACTCTTACGTGCACCGCTTTCTATAAAATTTCTTTTTTCCTCCATTGGACGGTTTGTTCATGAAATTTTCTAAACCGGTTTGTACTTTGTCCTATGACAATTCATCGTAGTTGAGCAATATTTAGGATTTAAAATATTTCGTAAGACTTTTGGGACCAATTATCTGCATACCGTATCCTTGGCTTGTAAACAAGCTTTCCTTTATTCGAGCAAGGCTGTATATGATAATTGCACGGAACAGTAAGGTTCCATTACCAGCGGTTTCGGCCTTTTTCAACGATGATTGAAGTGTAAATACAAACAAGAGCTTATCGTTGTTTCTCAGTACCGTGGAGTCCGTGGGTGGCCTTCTGCAAGAACCTGGCTCATAGTAAACGCCTTTAGGTGATAAAATAACAATCTACTGAGATAACAATGCTAAATGTGTCACCAAAAACGATTGCGTAATAGCGTTAGATAACTTTCGCTTTTATGCCACTGTTTTGGGCCTTGTTTAGTTGTTAGTTGTGGTGGGGTAGTGTTCTGACTCATGCTAAGTTTTTTGTTCCGTTTATTTGCTTGGAATGATTGCTTTTGAATTCGTTTAGATAACCTGAGTGACCTTCTTTGCTGCCATTTTAATAAATGAACATGGCTTTTCCAGTCAATCTTTCGACCTATGTCACTGTCAGTCATTTGAACGGCTTTCGCGGGAAGAAACCTTGGGTGGCAGTTTCCGGCGTCTGAATCAGCGGAAAAAATTCCACGGTATATAAAAATCTTGATATCCCGGGCTTGAGATGAAACTTGGACTGAATAAATGATGGTAAAAGCTCACAGTCTTTCAAAAGTAATATTCGGGGACAATTTAAATTAAATCCCCTTTACACCCATTGTTCTCTGTACTAAATCCGCTTGTAATTGCGGAGAAAAGTATTTCATCTCGACATTAAACCCATCAAGACCTTCGAAATATAGGTCATTTCATCTCATATCTACTTATGCAATCACTCAGAGCAGAGCAATCCAACAGATCAGTTGTTTGAAAAGCTCCCAGAGTTGGTTTATCTATCAAGCGGCGTGACTTTGTTTCCGGTCGACTGCAGAGAGAAAATAGACTATTCTCTTGACAGTCATATTTTAATCCTTGATCTCAATGGCTAAACTCAAACCTGCGGACTTGACAGCTGTACATTAAATACTTTCGTATTAAAAATTATTTTCATTGAAAAGTTTAAAAAGAATTAGCTATTAACGGTCTTAGCTTTCGTGAAAACGTTGAGAAGTGTTTAAAGAGTGATATTTGTTATGAGAGGGTTCATTACTATAAAAGCTCTGTTTTATGATAAAATGACCTCTAAAATGTTACTGGGTGTCTTCAACCTGTCGATAGGAAAAAATTCCTTAAAGTGCTTTGCTTTTGTTTACATTCGGGACCCTGGGGACTTTAAGCCGCTAAAAACACAAACAAGACCTTCATATTAGCCGGAGAGTTCGAACACCATAGCCCAGCTGAAATATGCAGTCCAGGTTAAACCTGTTTACAATACAGCAGCAATCAGGTTAACCCACAGAACGCGGAACAAATGTTTTCCGAGAACGTCTTTTTGGAGAGAAGGATTTCACGCTTGCAGTGCTCTGTGAGTGAAGCACTCACGTGTGGAATGACGTTGTTATGGTAACGCTAATTAGCTAGCGCTTTCTGATTGGCCAAAGGTGTTGTTAAAATATTCCTGAAAATTACGCAGGAGAATTGAAATTTGCTTCGCTTGTACGCCCCGTTCCTTTTCTCAGCCGCAGAAATTCGGGCTAGTTGCCGTCGGAAGACCTCTAGAGGAAACTCCAGGCACTTGAACTGCAGCAGTGCAGTCCCCCGGAATTTCAGAAGGTAAAAGTGACAGAGAGTGCTTTTGATTGAGTCTTTGAAGCTCAGGCTTTGCACCGGCGAGTTTTCATTCATTCAGCAATGTCAGCAGAGATTTAACTGCGCACCGATTTAAATGACCCTCTCGGGAGCAACGACAAAATTCGACTTCCACCCTTCAAACTACTAAACGAGTAAACTTTTGACGATTTTTAACAGTTTGATATCGATGCAGTACTAAGTTTTAAGACTTCCTTTAAAAGATAACATTAGAATCCTTTCATATCGATTGTATAACAATTTGTAGTGTTTGGAGTGTGATCTTATTTCCGTTTCTCGTAGAATGGCTGTTCAAGTCGAATCCTTGTGCAAACCGTTTGCGCTGGAAAACGACCCGGACGCGACTTACTTCTTTCATTTGGAAAAAGACGAAGTTGCTAGTGATGGCTACAGCTCTCCAGTCCCATCCCACGACATTTGGAAAAAGTTTGAGCTGCTACCGACACCTCCCCGCTCTCCATCACGATCACCGCGGCACTCGCCAATTGACATCGTTTCATTTGGTGGAGATTACGGCTCTGTAGCGGACACCTTGCAAATTGTCTCGGACATTTTGGATTTAGACGGGGACAGCTGTTCAACTACACCTCTAGCTACTGTTGAAATTTCTCTGACCAGTCTGAAGTCCAAACTCATTCAGGACTGTATGTGGAACGGTTCAAACTACGAAAGTTCGTTACCGGATTTTAAAAGTCTTGGTGCCGGTATGAACGCCGAGGACCTGTACGAGACTCCTTGTTCGACTCCTCCGCCAGTTGAATACGTTAGCTCTGATTGTGTGGATCCTTCCACGGTTTTTCCCTATCCTATTAACGAATCACATCATAACTTGTGCGGATCTCATACATCTAGCGATTCAGGTAAGATTTGTAATTAAACTCATCCAACGGCCATACTTCTATTTCCTGTTCAATTGCAATTTAAAGCTTTAATAAATTTTCTCATAATAGTGGTTTCCTGTGTTCGCTTTTCGTTGATCGTAAATTTTTGGGGATAAACTGGTAATTTAGTTGGTTTCTTTTTATTTACTGTTTGATAGAAGAAGAAATAGACGTAGTGACCATTGAGAAACCAAAGCGAAAGCGTCTACCGCAAGTCACTGATGAACCACCGGCAAAACGACTAAAACCAGTGGCTGTGAAACCGAAAGCGGCCATGTCTTTTCCTAGTCCTACAAAAGAGAGTAAAAAAGACAATATAAAGCGACAAAGTAGCTGCACATCAGACGAAGAAAGCGAAACTAGCAAGAGAGCAACTCACAATGTTCTGGAGCGGAAACGAAGGAATGACCTCAAGACAAGCTTTCACGTTCTCCGAGAAGAAGTACCCGACCTCAAAGAAAATGAAAGAGCTCCTAAAGTAACTATCTTGCGTAAGGCAAAGGATTACGTCGATAAACTGAAAAAGGATGAAGTAAGACTTCTTGCAGAACTTGAAAAACTACGGCACAGAAACGAAGAACTTTTAGAGCGATTTTATTCACTAGGACAAAAGCGAAAATAACTTTTTTGTTTGCTCTAATCTACGTGTAGTAACTCGTCTTTTACTCAAAAGAACTAAGAGGAAGATTGTATATATATAAATATAAAGCCTAAAAGAATATGTATTTTGTAAAGAAAGCGTAGGATCCTAGAAAATTTGGTCCAATATTTGTCTCGATTTAGTTGTGCGACTGTAGCAAGTAGCGCTTCCGCTCTGTAAACCAAATTTCATTCAAAGTGAAGATGATAAATTTTTGCGTTGTCTCAACGCTAAGCAGTTTGTGATTGAAAAGTAATGAAAAAAAAAGTATGAGCTTTCCTTGTCGAAATTGGCGCTTTTCCTTATAGGACGATAAGTTTTACTTTGATCTGATCATTTTTTTGACTGCCAAAGTTCGAATGAATGGATATAATTTGCATATATTGCGTCAAAGCGCGGGAAAGACTCGTATAGATTTCCATAAATTAACGTCAATGATTAGAGCTGTAGGTTTTGTTTCGAGTCCTTGGGGACTGTAGTTTTGCTTGATTTTTTCAGATAAAAGGAATGTTAGATATGTTATGCGTGAAGTTTTCGAACAGAATTCTGGATACCCGTTTTTACTGTGTAAAACCATGGTTGGCCGCTTTCGGCTTTTGGTGCAAATGAATTTGGATTGAAAGTTCAGTAATTTGATCCGTTAGGTTGGTGTAAGTTTAAATCCAAGATTAGCGTATTGTTTGTATTTAGTAGAAAACCCTTTGCGATGAACGTTTCTCGCCAATTAGCCTCTGATTAATGTTTGAGGTGTGATGTTATTGCGAAAGTACGTAGAATGTTAACATTCAGGAGTCGAATTCTCGTGTTTCTCGGCCGTTCCCGGGAAAATAAGTATGTAAACACTGCTTTGCTTGGCAAGCAAACAGATATTAAAGATCACAAGTTCAGGATTGTCCAAACTTGCTTTGTAAACTGAGAGAAATTCCACGAACGCCACTTTGTTCAGAATGAATGAACTTGGTTGCTTGGTGCATTGTGCGGTAAGATTATGTTAAGCCTTCGCGGATGTCGCCGCATGACTCTTCGATCGACGCCTATCGAGTGTTTGATCGGTAAAACCAGACCTGAAAAATGTTTAAGCCTGACGCCTGAACATTTTCTATCCCTTTTCCTTAACAGCTGAGCTATTATAACATGGTTAAATAAGCCTCGTGGGGGTTATTTACTGTATATTTTTAAAACATTTTATGGTTCTTGAACCGTAACGATGCTTCACAGGCAGCTACTTATATTGCTATTGAGTTAAAATATTTCATAATATTTTCTTTTCCATTTTTCAAAGAGCCAACAGGCTGTTGGATTTACTTCGTTCAAAACATGTGAAAATTCTTGAGCAATTAGTCGGCGCATGGTACATCCAGAGGTCAAATTTTTGGGTCGAGCGCGTGAACGAGAAAAAGTTATCCGCTTTCAGAAAGGCCGTGGGAAAATAACGACAGCTGATAGTGAAATTGTAGTTGCATTCCTGTGCAATTACACATTTCCTGTCCGCTAAGAATATCACTGGAAATGACGTGGGCAGTAGTTGATCTGTGGCCGTTAACGTTTCTGCTTGAGCGAGTATTTATGATGTCTCACGCGACAAGTCAAGTGTGTACGTTTAGTGATACCGCCATTTCTGTAAACAATTTACGATTATTTTAATTTGTTACTATGTGAACTTCAATCTGGATGCTGGCAACTATGTCTGCAAAGCTGTCTGCAGAAACCCTTGCTTATTCTAACGACAAACTGAGCATGGAAATCTACAGGCAGAGCAGAATTTCTCACACCCCGGCCCAAGCCAGGCTAAAAGTCATGAGATTTCTCAGTCTGAAAGCAAGCTTGTAGGTGTTAATTTGTTTCCGAACGGGTAGCTGATAAAGTTATTAACGAGAAAGGAACTCTGCTTTATCAAAAGACAAATATATAAAACACGGAAGGGTGTGGTGAGGGCTTTTTCCGCAATAGAAAAGCTGTTTGCTTTAGGTCGGATGTTTGTTTTCACTGATGGTCTTGCGTGGATGAAAGTTTGCGAATTTCTCATCAAAGGAAATATAATAATATAACTTTTAAAGCACGGAACAAGGCGATTTGCACTGAAAATATCACAACATTCCACATGTACCACAGGGCATGTGTGAATGAAGACTAGTAACGCAAATGAATGTGTGACATTGTAACGCAATCTATTATGGCGAAATAGCGAAACAAGGGTAGGATAAATTCATGAAATGTTTCAAGATGAAGCGAATAGTAATACCGTTACTTGTTTTTTGTTTTTTTTTTTTTCTTCTTCTTCTTCTTCTTCTTCTTCTTCTTTTCAAAGCAAAAATAAGAGAAATATTACGAGCATATCCTTGATATCCTTGATATCCTTGATATCCTTGATTGTATTGTGGCTGAAAGGTTTTGTCAGTTCCGGTCAGTGGATCAAACATAGATCGCTAGGTGTAAACCTGCGATCTAAAATAAGATGCAAAACAAAAGGGTAGAAAATTAGGTACGTGCTCGTTGCTTAACGGAGACAGTTTTGGGCGCTGAATTCACTTCCGGTGCTGTGGCTGAGTGGTTTTAAAATTGGTCAGTGATCAAACAACGAAAGACGGAGATCAAACTGTTTTCAAAAGGGAGTGAGCTAACCACCAAGCGAGTCTGGTTTGTTTTATTGATTGCAAACAACAGAAAGCGACGTGCTCTTCTTGTGACTGTGGGGTTTTGGATTTGAATCCACTTCCGGTGCAAAGGTCGAGTGCGGCCGAACGAACAAGCATCAACAATGGATGGAACTAATTTCAAAAGGAAGCGACTGACCATAAAGCGCGTCTGGTTAGTTATATTGATTACCATCTTGACTGTGGTCAGCCAGCGCCACACGACGCCTCTTGTTTTCAATCGCAGAGCATGGCAAAGTCAGCGAATGCTTTCTTGCCGAAATAAACCTCAATGCGAATGCACTTGAAATGGCTACAAACTGTCTGTCTATATTGATGGGAGGTTTTTGATGAGAATAGATTCATACAAGGCTATTTGTTCATGCAAGTTCTATTACTCTCCACGCTTTCTATCCTGTTGTTGTGAATCCAGTTATTTAAGGGATCTAACAATAGGTGCATACAAATTTATTCAGTAGATGTTTATTCCCAAAAGGAGAGCATCTATTGAAACTACCATCGGAATAACACCCCACGAGCAGAGGGTACAATTTCGCGATATGTCCTTGCGTGGGCGATATGTACTTTCGCCCCCGGGGGGGGGGGGGTACTCGCAGAAGAATTGGGTAGGGGTGTGCGGCCCGCTTCCCAAAACCCTTACCCTATTTATGACCAAAATCTGCGATTTTCCCTACCCTATTTATGACCTAACCAAAAATTTGATACCCTATTTATGACCTGACCCTTAAATCAATACCCTGTTTCAGACCTGCCTTATAATTATTTCCCTAGTTCAGACCAATGTTAAAGGCAATGTTTATCTGCTTTTATTCGGTTAGGGGGACATGATAAGGAAATAGCTTCTTCTAAAAAAGTGCATTCAAGACTACAGTGCAAAAATCGTTACCCTATTTATGACCAAAATGGCGGCAAAATAGCCAAAATCGATACCCAATTTATGACCAAAACGGCTGAAAAACCCTACCCTTTGGGGCCGCACATACCTATATAGCCCATATTAGGGAGTACCCCCCCCCGGGACTTTCGCACGCCAGTACACATCCCGAGTAGCCTCTGCTCGCATCCTCGCAGGGTAGTGGAATAACGGGGACCGGAACGGCCGGGGGTTAAGAGTGTTCGAACCTATCGCCTTTTACCTTTTTTTATTTGTAAATGGTGACTCCTGGATGCACTTTTTAAACAGTTTCGTGTTGGTCATGGTTTTGTGTTAAAAGGGTAGCGTCATATGATATCTACACCCTGGCTCCAGAGCTCCGTTCTCGAAATACTGAGGATGAAATAAACCGTGCTTAAGGTTGATAAAGCTCCCGAGGCTTCGCCGCGAACTATCGGGAATTAGATAAGGAAAAATAACCTCTGGAACCCAGGGTATGATATCTACGGTGTCGTTTAGAGTAAGTGTCCTGGACATACCCGCAGCACCCCCTCGCGCGCACGCACCTAGCCTTCAGTGCCTGCTTTTCTTCTTTTGCTCGCGGAAGCGCCATTTTGAAACTCCAAAGGAGAAGAGGAAACAGTACGAACATAAACAAGGCGGTTTCGCCCGCCCAAAATACGCCTAGCACGCACGCAGCAGACCCAGTTTGGTGGAAAGGCAGTTGATTTTTTCTATTTTGTATACTCTGAGATCCGTTGCAAAAGTAGTCTGCTACACAGCCGTTTTTAGTGTCGTCACGCAACATTCCAATCTCAGTAGGGTACCAAATAAAATGTCACATCTCCTGTCAACGCCAATCGATTATAGAAACTAAGAAAGAACCGAAGCATATGCAAAAAATGTTGTACTGGCTTTGAGAGAAGTATATCGGTAGCGAAACTTGTAAAAAAAATAATAAACATGAAATTAGCCCGGCGTAAAGATAGGGATGCATATCCATGAAATATCCATTACTGCAAGCTCCTTCAATGCAATATTGTCATTTGATGGAAATCATAATTCAAAACAAATTAAAGAACTTATTAGCACTCGTTTATTACAAGATTTAATATAAAATATGTTGATCGATGGTTTGCCACTTAAACGGCAGGTAATCGAATCAGCAGGGGAGCACCCCGGAATCCGTGGGAACGAGACGCAATATTAATTTAATTCACTTCAACTTAATTGAGTCGGTCTACAAGGATGATGGAGGCTCTACTGGGAAATTGGAAGGTCTGGCATTTCGAGTCATTAAGAATCGAAAAGAGCATCAACTGGGCACTCCTTCTCAATCCCAATCTCTTTCCTTGAACAGTTTCGACTTTTAGATATTTCGATCAACAACAATCTTCCGTCTGTTCTCTTTAAAAAAAGGTTAAAACAACATAACAGAAACAACAGATGCTACGGATGGGGAAAACTGGAGAAGATTGAAACGGATTGAAATTAAGGTTTTTGAAAACTGTTCAGCCTAACAGTTTTTCAAAGTTGGTCCCTGCTGCTTGCAACTTCAAAAATAATGCTCAGGAGACATATTTGTTTGTCTCGGATCTCTGATTTTGTCATTTACATGTAATTTCTTTGCTTACTTTAAGTTCCATAGCAATTGAGGGCGAGCCCCTTTAAATTGAATACACTACTTTTAAGGGCTCGGCAACATAATTTCTTAGTTTAGACTTTAGGCAACCTTTTTTTAACAATTTAAAATCTCAAACTCTCCGAACGAGCATCTCTAACCATAGACCGAGTCCACACCGCCACGCCCAAATATACACACTGTTACTGTCTCATCGGAGAGTAGGGTAGGGGGGGAAGGGGGGCATTTTTCATCTTGTTCTATCTGGATATACCAGCCAAGCCAATCCCCCCGGACATCTGTAGGAAGGGGAGGGTATCAGTCAGGTTGCGAGTTCCCATCGTTGGGCATTAACAGCTTTCCCAAGAATATGACAACCGAAAAATACGCCAAGAGTCGCCCGATGGGAGGGAATACAAGACAGTCTTGGATTCTGGATTCCACCTTGTGGATTTTGGATTCCGGATTCCAATCGTTAATGGGAGCTGTATCCCAGATTCCAAAGCCTAGGATTCCGGATTTCACGAGCAAAACGTAAACAAATTCCCGAATTCGCATTCCCTGACATGGGGCGGGCGAAAGGAGGGATTGACAAGCTTAGAATTGACTGAGATCTCTAATACATAAGCTCGTACATAGGCGCCTGCTACGCAGGCTACAGGGTTTCAAGTGAGTGCGATCTAAGAATAACAAGGAGCTAAGAGGTGCCGAGGTGAGCATTAACTCACTTTTTCCAAAGGAGAGCCAAAAGGCGCCATTAAACCTCTGAAAAGGAGAGAAAGTGGCAGAAAATTTCCTGCATAAACATTCAGAGATTAAAATTGACGATGTGGG